CATATTCATAACACTATTTTTTGGCCAATCAATGGCTCAAACAACTTATTTACAAGTCTTTGAAAGGTTGCCCCGACATTTTTTAGCTCAAAGGGCATGACCTTGTACAGTACAGGCCAAGCTCGGTTATGAAGGCAATCTTTTCTTCATTTGTCGGGTCTATCCTGATCTGGTTGTAGCCTGAGTAGGCGCCTAGAAAGCTCAACAACTCGTGCCCCGAGGTCATGTCCACCAGACGGTTGATCCTGGGGAGTGGGAAGCAGTCCTTTGGTCAAGCTCGGTTCAGGTTGGTGTAGTCGACGCACATGCGCCATTTACCGTTAGCCTTTTTTACCAGAATGGGGTTGGCCACCCAGCTCGGGTAATGGACTTCCCTGATAAAATCGATTGCAAGGAGCTTCCCGACCTCCTCGTCGATTGCCCTCCATCGCTCTAGGGCTAGGTTGCATTTCTTCTGTCTAACGGGCCTAACTACAGGATCAATATTTAGCTTATGAGTGATAATGCTAGGGTCTATGTCGGGCATTTCTGCCGTAGACCATGCAAAAAAATCTAAATTTTCAAATAAGAAGCGTACCAATTTAGATCGCAGAGGCTCCTCAATGGAAGCGCCGATCTGGAGTGTTTGGGTTGGGTCCTCCGTCGAGGCTGGGATGGAGACGGTCTCTTCTGTGGGCGCAGCTCGCTCCTCGCTCTGCTCCGTAGGTCGCTCCAGCTCGAGGTCATCGGCCACCTTGGCTTTCCCTTTAAGGGCGGCGATGTAGCATTTGCGAGACTCAAGCTGGTCACCTCGTTCTATCCCGATTCCGAAGTCCATGGGGAACTTCATGGCCAAGTAGTAAGTGGACACCACAGCCCGTAAGGCATGGGTAATCGGCCGACCCACTATGGCGTTGTACGGGGAGGGGATTGCGACCACTAAGAAATCGTGGCTGAGCCTCACTATGCTAGGCCAAGTGTCGACTTCCACAGGTACTGTGATCCTTCCCAGGGGTCTGACTTCCTCTCCATTGAAGCCTACCAGGGAAGTGTTTGCGGGCTTCAGGTTGCTCTCTTGGAGCTGAAGTTGGTCGAAGGCTGCTTTGAAGAGGATGTCTACTGAGCTGCCTGAGTCGACGAGGACGCGCCTAACTTCAAAGTCATTGATCTTCATCTTTATGACGAGCGCGTCATCATGGGGGTAGTGGACCCCGCGCGCGTCATCTTCTGTGAAGAAGATTGGGTCTTCCATCCTTGGCCGCTTCGGGGGGTTCTGTTCCTCCTGAGCAGCCTCGCGAGCTGATGTCCGAGCTTCGGCTGAGGTGCAGCCCGCTACAATCGATCCTCCAACTATCACATGGATGGTCCCCCGAACTGGTCTCTCTTCGAGGGGCTGCTTCTGTGGCTGTTTTGCCTGCCTACTGGACTCGGGAGCATCTCTACTCTGCTCCCCCTGTCGACCTTCTTTATTATTACTATTATTATTTTGTACAAAATTTCTTAGATACCCGCGACGGATGAGCTCCTCTATCTCGTCGTGGAGGTTTTTACAGTTCTCGGTGCTGTGACCGTGATCTTTATGAAAACTACAATACATTTTTTTATTTCTAACATTGGGGTCTGCCTTTAGCCGAGGCAGCCACTTCACATACGGGGGCGTCCTTGATCTCCATGAGGATCTCGTCCCGCTTCGCGTTGAGGGGCGTGTAGTCCCTTTGTGCTGCTGGAGCCCGGAAAGGATGATTCGGCTTTTCCCCCCGAGCTTGGCCCTTCTTCTTCTTGTTGTCGCCCTGAGTTGAGGGCTCTGGTTCCCTTTTCCTTTCTCGAGGGCCTGCTCACCCTTCTGGTTGATCTCTTCCTCCGTCCTGATAAACCGATCTGCGAGCTTGAGGAACTCACCCTTGGGCTGATTGACGACCACGTGCCACTTGAACTCTTTGTGGGTAATACCTCACTTGGCTGCAGTGAGGCGAACTACGGGGTCCAGATTGGGTATTTGTAGATAAGCGTCATTAAATCGTTTGATGTAACTCCGAATGGACTCCCCTTCCTTTTGAACTATGCCGAGGAGGCTTTCTTGAGTCATAGGGCACCTCTTGCTGGTGACAAAGTGGGAGGTGAAAACTTGCACGAACTACGCCCAACTTCTTATCAAACCGGGCGCGAGGTTTCGGTACCATGTGCGGGCTACCCCTTTGAAGGTGGTGGAGAAGGCCACACACATGCAGGATTCACTGGCCCTTGCCAGGTGCATCGGAGACTGGAAGGCGTCCACATGATCATTCGGATCGAAGGATCCATCATATTTGTCCAGTGGAGGGAGCTTGAAGTCTCTTGGCATGGGGACAACAAGAAGTTCTAGAGACAGTGGGGAAGGAACTGAGAGGAGAGGAGTAGCTTTTACTTCACTTGAGCTCACCTCCAATTTACCTTTGAGCTCGGGCGAGACACGGGTAGTAGTTCGGCGAGTTCGCCGGCGTCTTGGTTGCTGTTTTGCCAGCTCAGTGTTGGTGCTGCTTGCTTCAGTGTTATCGAGCTCGATGGGCTCGGACTACTGGTGGTAGCTCTGGACTGAAGGGCCCTGCCTGGTGTCTGCGGCTAGGACCTCAAACGAATTTTCTACGAGCGGGAGCTCGAACTGCGAGTGCTGGGGCGATACGGGCTTGACTGGTTGGGAGGCCCCCGACCTGCCCATAGGCTGCAAGGCGGGGGTGACTGGCCTCTCCTTTCTGCCATGGGAAGAGGCTTGGCTCTTGGAGAGATCCTGGGCCTGAGAGGCTTCTCCCCGGCGAGGTCGTTCGCTCCGGCAGGAGGGCTTGGTTTGCTTCGAGACTGGGTGCCTAGGAGGGAGTGGCTGCTGGGCCTGAGGCAAGGAAGGGAACTACTACTGATACTGGTACTGAGAGACTTGATGCAGCACTTGTTGCTGGTAGAGTTGGAACTGCTGGAACTGTTGCATTTGAGTTTGCATGGCTCGCATGCATTGCACTAAGTCTTCCAATTGATTATGGTTGGTCACTGGGGTTACAACCGAAGGTTCAGCAAAGGCCACTCCAACCATGGAAGGGAGTGGAGCGTTCACGGAGGGGAACGGTGAACTGTCCGATACAGACAGTGGGAAGCTGGGATTGCTCTCCAGAAGCGTTCTGGTTGGCACCACGCCCGGCGTTGTTGGAGGAGGCCATGAATGCTAAGTTCTCGAAAGGAAAATGTAGAAACTTAGAGGAAGGCTTTTTTGAAGCATTTCTCACAGACGACGCCAAATGATGCTGTGCAATCCGAGCACTCCTAGCTAGCAACTGACTGACTCCTCGTTGGCGACGGACGGTACCTGAGAAGAGAGCGATGAAGGATTGCCGGGGGACTTGCCCAGTGGGAATACTCCGATGCTTAAGTTAGAACGTTGGAGAAAGTTGTAAAGAGTGTAAAGAAGGCTAAGAGTGTAGGTCGCGCTAGATCACTGAGTTAGTTCGAGAGAAAGTTAGAGATATTCAAGATAAGATATCAGATATTCGAGCGTTCTTGTCAAATCGGGCGTAACCGCCACTGGACCTCTGTCGCAGCCTTTATCTGCCAGGGCTGCGCAGGTAACCATTGTAGTGTACTACCCAATCGGATGAGTGACACATCCCGGAAGGACAGACACGCCACCACCTGTCAAGAGACGTGGGCGCAGACTTGTCGGGCTGGCAGGGACTGCGCCGTCAGTCAGGAGACGTGGCGCAGTCTGACGGGTACGGTCTTGTCAGATAGAAGCTTCCTGAGAACATCGTGTCGCTTAGTAGCAAGCTGCCCTGTAGCGAGCTATCTTGTCGTGAGCTACCTTGTAGCGAGCTCTTGAGGGTATTGCGAGGTGATTCCTCTTGAAGTGGCCCTTGAAGCAGTTTTTCTGCCTAAGTATTGGAGCGAGCTGGGGTAGACTCGTCTTGGAGTATTCCCCTTTAGTACACCGGGGGTCCTCGAGCTCGCGCTGTAGCGAGCTCCCCCCGTAGCGAGCCATGACGTAGCGAGCTGTCCTGCGGACTCGTTACTTAGTCGCAGTCAGGCTGTGATGCTAAGCTGTTACTTGTGCTGAGTCATGTCCACGTGTCATTGTCTCAAGGGGTCGGGTCAAATCACCCTCCATTAGAGGCAAATGGTGCAACCAAAGTAGATGAATTATCAAGTCCTACTGAGCTAATTAAAAGAAAATATAGTATTGCTAAATTGCATGAAATTGAAGGCCAACAGATATTTGATGAAAGTATAAAGAAAATGTTCAAGGAAAAATGCTCCCTTGTTCCTAAAGAGTGGACCCCGAAGATTGGCATGGTGTTTAAAATAGAAGAAGAAGCATATGAGTTTTATAATAGGTATGCTGGAAAGGTAGGATTTAGTGTTCAAAAAGCCAATAGAATTCTATGCTCTTGGATTGGTAAAGCAAGATTTAGAAATTTTTGTTGTTCTAGAGAGGGGAAGCATATCCAAGATAAACTTGGATTCATTGCCAAACGACCCCAAGCGGAGACAAGACGTGGGTGTATGGAGGAAATGAAGATAAGCCATCGAGAAGATGGTTTCTATCATGTGATTTCTTTTAATGAAAATCATATCATATTGTTACAACCCCTGAAAAAGACACACATGCTAAGATCACAAAGAAGTATTTCAGAGATACAAGCAGCCCATATTAAAAGAGCTGATGATTCAGGAATAGCTCTCAAAGCAACAATGGAACTAATGGCCAAGGAGGCTGGTGGACGGGAAAAAGTTGGATTCACTTCTATGGATCTTAAGAATTATTTGCATTCATACCGGACAGGAAGATGGAGAAGGGAGAAGCAGGTGGTGTTTTATAATACTTTCAAGACATGCAATCAAAAGATCCTTCTTTTGTATATGCAATACAATTGGATCAAGTTGAATTAGTCACAAATTTATTTTGGGCAGATGGTCAGATGATAGTAGACTATGGTCATTTTGGTGATGTTATATGTTTTGATACAATGTATAGAACAAACAATGAAAATTGACCATTTGCAATGTTTGTGGGGGTGAACAATTATATGCAATCAACAATTTTTGGTGTTGCATTGTTGTATGATGAAACTGCAGAAACATTTGAGTGGCTATTTAAGACTTTCATCAAAACAATGGGTGGAAAACAACCAAAGACAATTCTAACTGATGATGATGCAGCTATGGAAAAGGCAATCAATTTGGTATTACCAGAAATAAATCATCAATTATGTGTTTGGCATATGTTTCAAAATGCTACAAAACACCTTAGTGGTGTATTTGAAAAAATTAAGACATTTTCTAAGGATTTTAGCAATTGTGTTTATGATTATAGATGAATTTGAAGATGCATGGGAAAAGATGGTTAAGAGGTATAACCTCCAAGAGAATGATTGGTTGCAAAAGTTATATGATAAAAGGCATAAATGGGCTTTAGTATTTGGGCGACAAACATTTTCTACTGGTATTAGCACCACACAGAGAAGTGAAAGCGTGAATAGTTGTCTTAAAAAACATCACAAAATTAAGCATGATTTATCAAGACTCCTTTGGCATTTTGAGAGAGTAGTTGCTGATAGGCGATATGAAGAGTTAAAAGCTGAATTTGCAGCAACACAAGGCATCCCAGCCTTGACTACAAGTGTGGATATATTGAATTATTTTTCTCGTATATATACTCCACCTATTTTTTCTTTGTTTTTCAATGAAGTAATGCAACAACTCAATTGTAGTATTGAAGAAGATTATGTTGTATGTGGAACATCAACTAAGTATGTTGTTAGTGTATCTGGAAAAAGTCGTCGGCACACAGTCACTTTTGACTCAGTAGATGATTTGGTCAATTGTAGTTGTAAAAATATTGAATATATGGGGATCTTATGTGGGCATGCATTGAAAGTACTTGATTGTAGATGCATTAAAATGATTCCCCCATGCTATATACTAAAAGATGGATTATTGATGCAAAGGTGACAACTGTTGAAACATCTCATGACTCTATTACATGTGTTGATCAAAACATAGAAAGAGCAATGTATCAGAAAGAGATGAATTGCTTGTTTTCCCAAATAGCAAATAGAGCTGCACATTCTAAGAATGCTTACAAGGTTGTTATGGAGACTGTAGAAAAGTTTTTAAAAGAAGTGATAGAATGTTTGAAACATACAACATTTGACCAACCATCTATTTCACTAGAGGGCATGGAAACTGAAATTAATATCAATAGTAGCTCTCCTTCCTTACATGTTGATAAAATATGTGGGGATATTGATGGCAAAAATGTCAATTTCACTGAAGAAGACCTCAACAATAGTGAAAGGAATTAAACACAAGATGACCAATGTGCGTTCTTCTTAGAGGCCAAAAAATGCTTTAGAAAAAGCCAAAGCAAGGAGAACAAAGCGGAAAAAGAATCATATTACCGAAAAAAGTTCTACCCAACAACCTATATATTTTTTTTAATTAAATATACTTTTATGATTAAATTTTTTGATCCAGGAATATGGAGATGGAGGCAGCAAAAAACATGTGCCTCCAAAGAAGACAAAAAGGACAAGAGCACAACAATCTAATCAACCTCTCTCATCAATACAGGTATGTCTTTGATTAAAATTATTTAAATAATATATTAATATTTTTATATTAAAATTCCTATTCTATAGGAATCGGGGTTCGAGAAAAATAATGAGAATGTCACAATGAGAAATCAACAAAACATTGTTTCACATCACATTCATGTAAGTTACAACTCAACTCTCTCATGATTCATATAAACTTATTTTTTCTTGATTATTTAATTATTCTTATGTGCTTTTCATATTCAAGATTGGTTTGGAGAATGGTCATGCTCATACTGTACCTTTATTACTTCAGGTAATTATTTTGAATAATTTATATATCTTAAACATATTCTATTTTTATAATTAAGTGTTTATTATATTTTTTATGTATTTGTCCTAGCCACAAAACATCTTCACATATGGACACATGAACTCCTTTGCTAATGATCCTAGTATGTCTCAGTTGTTGCAAGTAAATAGCTAATATACATGTTTTAAAAAATACAATAATAATTTTTCTTTCTTTTCTATGGTTTTACTATTTGTTTAATTGTCTTCATATAGGCATAGATATCTGCTACTGCTTTTAGAGAATTCCGTACCAGTGGCTCTTATACGAGTCAGGTAATTTCCTATATCAAATGAACTATAGTTTGAATATATTCTTAAATATACTTTGAATGATATATACATTTTGTAGGGATCATTTGGGATTGGAGTATCCCAACAAACAATGGCTTGCAATAATTTAGAAGATGTAGAGGAAAATAATGAATGATACCCTAGGTGAAAACTCGTATCAATTCATGATATCTAGTCTAGGTAAAAAGTGGAAAAAGGTGTTTCCTCTAGCTAAGTTATCTATGTCATTTAAATTTTAAACCTTAATAATTAAGTCTCTGATCTTTTTGTTGTATTTGAGTGCAGGAATTGAAGGGTAAAGAGATAAAGGAATACAAGAGATACTTGGACAATTCTTTTGTACGAAATTTGATTACATATGATTGTACAAAAGCCTTGCAATTCTCTTTTGGAAGCATGGCTATAATTTTTTTATATAGTTTTTTTCTATACATGCTAAACACATATTTTATAGTTTCTTTGGTTAATAATATCATTGTAACCAAGCAAGTAATTATCTTTAAGGATCTTTTGCTTAGCATATTTTTATTGGTTTTTTCTTCTGTTTAGTTGGGATATGAATTGGGTATTTGGCTTTTCATTCGATACTAATTCAAGCTTGAAATTTGGAATTTATAGCCTTTCAATGAGCCTAGTATGTTTGGGGAAGCTTTTTCTTGCTACTATATATGCAAAATTTATGGGGTTTTTCTTTGTTTTTGCAACAAAAGGTAACACTTAATTTGAGAGATTTATTTTGGTTGGGTAGAATTAGAATTTGACTCCAATTCTTGGTGGAATGACATTCCCCCATTCCCCCCCTCCCTAGGGAAGACGAATCCCCTACTAGCTTATTTCAATTCAGGTGGGGGAATAGACCAATTTCGATTTCGATTATGATTATGATCCTAATGGACCCGTAGTTCTTAACTCTCATAAAAGAAATTATTAACAAAAACTACATATTATTTGTTGGGCAATACGAGATTTCATCATTCTCACAATGGGATGATTTATTAATATTTATATTAATTGGAAATCTAACCATAGTTGTGAAGAGACAATGATTTATTAGTATTTATATTAAAATAAGATATCCATATAAAATAAGATTGTTACATTCCAAGTAGTTATCGTTGAGGCTGTGCTTAGTTTGAAAGAACCGAAATTTGAGGGAAATTTTTAAAGAAATTTCACAAAATTTATTAAAAACTCTACTTTAACTTGTCCGTCTTTTATTTTCTAGCAAATCAAACATAGCCTAATAAATTGACATAGAATATGAAACTTAAGAGTCAAAAGAGTTACAATTAGGGTTCAAGTTGCCCATTTGGTATTGACAAATTACTAATTTCCATTACATCTAGCAATGCAATCCCATAATTTTTTTTTGGTAATCCAATCCCGGCCATAAATTTCATATGAACACAACAAGAAGTAAAAAAACTTCAAATAATTTGATGTTCCAAATATAACTTAGCCATATCTTTACATAACTAATAATGCTCATGCTGAAGTCTATTGTTTTAACCATACCGTCAATAAAATAACAATACTATAATAAGTATAATGCATTTGACATGTTATTAATTTCAATCTATCCTCCAAGAGGGAAACTTGCTTCTCAAAACATTCCATACTACTATTCTCTTATAGTGATACTTGTTCTTTGAACTACTCCAAAACTTTGCTTTTTGCATCCAACCATCTTCCAAGCAGTAAATTTGTCTATCCACTTGATGCAT